GTTAATTTCTAGGAAGACAGACACTTTTGGATGAATCATTAAGAAGCCTGTTCCAACAAGCCTCTTCAAGATACTGATGGCGGCTCGCACAAAGCAGCCGCGATGATGATGGACGGGCCAGCAAATCACTGCAAACAGAGCTCTCTGTTCTCTTCTCCATCTTTGAAGAAAGCATCCATGTTCCAGAGGACAGGCGGGAAGCTAAAGTTTATTCTGCAGTTGATATAATTAGACACTCTGTCATGGAAAGCAGATACTGTTTTTGAATTAGTCAAATCAGGCATGAGCCATTTGCCAATTTAGCGCCGCTCCCGAATGATTGTTAGTGTGACGCGTCTGAGTGTTTAAACCTACCTGTTCCTTCCCCACCATCAGTCAAAGACTTGGCCTTTCGACACTTGTTCATATCCTCGGTCAAGGTTAGTTGGGTTTCTTTTGGCTCGTCCCACCTCTGGAGCTTGGGGGCAGGCTGCGGAACGTCTAAAACATAGTCTCAGAAGAACAAAGTGGCAGAAGTCCAGTGGCACCTTCAACACCAACAAAGTTGTGTTCAAGGTATAAGTTTCCATGTGCATGCACACTTCCTCGGATACAATGAAATGGAAATGACCAGTCCATACATATAGATTGAGGGTGAGAGCAGTAAATTAAGCATACAGCATATATACCTATATGTATGGACTGATAATTTTTATGTCATTGTATCCGGGGAAGTGTGTGTGCACACGAAAGTTTATACCTTGAATATAACTTTGTGGGTATCAAAGGTGCCCCTGGACTCAGACTTTGTTCTGCTGCTTCAGACCAACTCGGGGTCGGGACCCCACCTGAATCTATAATCTCAGATGGCAGCTGTGCTCTGCAGCAGAACTGCTAGGTTTTGAGTCCAGTAGCACCTTAGAGGCCAAGATTTTTGGGACAGTAGAAAAGAGCAATGGAGCCACGGTGGCTCAGAGGTTGAGCTGCAGACCAGAAGGTCTGTAGTTCGGCACTTCGAGACCTGAGTGCCGCGTGACAGAGTGAGCTCCCGTCTCTGGCCCCAGCTCCTGCCAACCTATCAGCTCGAAAGCAAGAAATTGCAAGTAGATAAATAGGTTCAGTGGGAAGGTAACAGCGTTCCGTGCGCCTCGGTGTCTAGTCATGCCGGCCACGTGACCACCGAAACGTCTTTGGACAGCGCTGGCTCTTCGGCTTGGAAACAGAGATGAGCACCGCACCCCTAGAGTCAGATTCGACTGGCTTTCGAGCAAGGGAAACCTTTACCTTGACTTAGAAAAAAGCAAGAGTCCAGTAGCACCTTAAAGATTTTGTGGCAGCTTTTGTGAGTCCCTGCTCACTTCAGATTTGGGGGGGGGTATAAGCTTTTGCGAGTCAGAGCTTCCGTTGTCAGGTCTCTAGCTGTTCTAATCTAGCTGTTCTAAAACATAAACCACAATTAAATGAACTTTTAAAATTTGTTTTATTCACTTCATTTATACTTCACCTTTCTCCCCAGCGGGGACCCAAGAGGTGGCTTACATAATTCTCCTCTCCTCCATTTGATCCCCCTCTCCATTGAATCCCCGAAACAACAATCCTGTGAGGTAGGTTAGGCTGAGAGTGTGTGACTGGCCCAGTGTCACCCAGCGAGCTTCTGTGACAGAGCAAGGATTCGAACCCGATCCTAGTCGGACACTCTATAACCACTATACCACGCTGGCTGTCAAAATGAAAGCCACCCTATGTTGGCTAACTCAGGCTTTGTCAAATTGCCTTGGCAAGGGAATTCCATGCCCTTCTCATAACTGGGTATCTCCTGAACTGCGGTTGGTTTCCTGAGTATGGGGCACTGAGCCAGACCCAGAGATGGGGGGGGGGGCTATTCCACTTCTCTAGCATTCTTGGCTCCCTTTCTCTAGGGAGTGTTGGATACCATTTTGTCCACACACACCCGTGCTTTGGAAGAATCTCTTTCCTTGGTTCAAAGAAACTGGCCTGGGGGGGGGGGTTGATCCCCCCCCCCCCCCCAAGCTAAGCAACAGCCATCCACATTAGAGTGTCGTGGATAAACCAGACGTTAGTCCCATCATTTTCAGTAGTCGGTTCTTTAAAAATGGATGAAACCGGCACACAAAGTGTCGAGTCCTTAAGGTAGATCGTTGATTTGGATGTGCAGAGTGGCCCGAACCCAAAGCGACGGGTGAAGTAACAGCAGTTTTGCCGCATCAAAGAAAACAGGTCTCTAAAGGGTTTGTGATCAGGAACGGGTGCGTGTATTGGTCTGAGGCATGACTTGTTGAAAGGATGCCAAAAAAGGAACAGCAGCTGGGGGGGGGATTTCTCCCCACCAAGTTTCTCCAGCTCTGTCTTTTAATATGCTTGTATTCTCGTTGATGTGACTCAACTCTTTCGAGGAGTGAGTGGGAAGGCCCAGGGAGTCTTGCTACACTTGTGGGCGGGTGACGGTTGAGGAGCATTTTATTCTCTGGGCTCAGCAAGTTAAATTTAGTGTCGTTTTTGGGAGATAAGAGAATGCTTTGTTCTTCTAAAGCTGCTGGGGGGGGCTTTAATTATCACTTAAGACAGGTGTGTGTCTTCTAATCTCGGATTATCAAAACTCCAATCTGTCCTGCGTTGGTGTGAATTCCTTCTAGTCCCCCTTCCCTTCTTTAGTTTGTTCAGTGCCGCATTTAATACTGCTTGGAGCTACTCAATTTGAGTTTTACTTCATTTATACCCAGGGTGACTTTCCTTCCCACTGGGGACCCAGAGTGGCTTGTAATATTCTCCCCTGCGTCTTCTCAACAACCCTGTGCCAGAGGAAAGACTGAAAATGTGAATTTCATTGGCAGAGGGGGGATTCGAACTTGGGTCTCCCAGAACTTAATCCGAGGCTCTAACCGCTACATCCTCTTTCCCCTGCCCCTGTCTCTCAGTCTAAAATTATATATTTATTATGTAAGGTAGGTAAAGGTTTCCCTTGCTTGAAAGCCAGTCGAATCCGAGCAGTGCTCATCTCCGTTTCCAAGCCGAAGAGCCAGCGCTGTCCGAAGATGTTTCCGTGATCATGTGGCTGGCATGACTAGACGCCAAGGCGCACGGAACACTGTTACCTTCCCACCAAAGTGGTACCTATTTATCTACTTGCAATTTCTTGCTTTCGAACTGCTAGGTTGGCAGGAGCTGGGACCAGAGACGGGAGCTCACTCCGTCATGCGGCACTTGGGTCTTGAACTGCTGAACTACCACTCTTCCGGTCTGCAATTCAGCATTGTAACCACTTGAGCCACCACAGCCCCCTATATATTTATTACAGGCTTTCAAATATGTCCACAAATGTTACTAGCCAACAAACAATTTTACTGGCCCGCCTTGACGTTTAGACCTCGTTGTCACTTATGGCCTGAAAGGGAGTGTGGGAGAGAATCATCTTTTACAAAGCTGGTCTTTCTGCCATTTGACAGGAATTTGGATCCCTGTGTTAATGCTGATGACATTGATACATACTTGTACAGCTTTTCTCCGCTCACAGAGGGTCCTGTGTTCAATCTCTGGTAGCATTGCAATCTCAGGTAGCTGCTGTTGGGACAGACCCGGGCCTGAGGCCCCGGAGAAGCCGGTCAACAGACAGCACTGAGCTGGATGAACTCAGGGTAGCAGATTTGGTTGTTCACCACAACCCTTGCGGGCCTGGGGCTGTGTGGAGTTTTGCATTTGAACCTCCCCTAACAACCTTCGTCCAGCCTCCGCCAAATTTTCTCCGCTTATTTCTAACATCTCCCCTTTTGTAAAGCAACTTTGCAAAAGATTCTGTGAACTTCGGCAGAGAGTAGGAGGGGTTGCCTCAGTGCTGAGTTCTTGTGGCCCTTTCTCACACGCCCAGGGAAATGCCGATCGCCACTCTGGGGTCAGGAAGCAATTTTTCTCCAGGCCAGTTTGGCTGGAGATCCTGGAGGGTTTTTTGCCATCTTCTGGGCATGGAGCAGAGGTCACTGGGTGTGTGTGGGGGGGAAGGTATTTGTGAATTTCCTGCATTGTGCAGGGGGTTGGGCTAATGACCCCGGAGGACCCTTCCAACTCTATGATTCTATGAACTTTCCACGCGATACAGAAGGAATAAGCATGGTTTTTCCTACATGGAAGTGATTCCTGAAAGTATAGTATATTTTTACGACATCTAATAGCAGCCCAGATCTTCCCCTCTCAGCCTTTGTTTCTTTATCCTCTCCATAACCTTCGGAGGCGGGGAGCCTAGGCATGTCCCAGAGGTGACAGTAGCTCATTGAAATCTTTCTCACCAAGTGGTTGGGTTTGCCAAGAGTGGAAGCTGAGGCTGAAAACATACAATTAATAACGTCTAGGGAATCCCTTCTGTCTTCAGCCCCCCCAAGGGGGTTAGTGTGCAGCCAGCCATCGCCTGAGAAAGTGGGGCAGGGATGCTCTAGCTTCAAAAATTAAAAGAGGCATTTTCCCATTTGTCTACGGCGAGTAATCGTTTGTGTTCTTGCGGCCAGGCCCAGAAGCCCATTTGAAGCGCAAGACAGTTGCAAGCCCGTCAACGAAACGGCCAGCCGGAGGAGGGAAAATAGCAAGTAGTTGTTGTCGATGGGCCTCTTTGGACGGATTAAACTTCTGCAGCTCATTCTCCGGAAGACTTGAAAGTGACAAGTTCTTCTTCCATCAGCCTCCGAACCGCCTAAGGGAGAGCAGGGCATGCGGATTGTCTGACAAGCCATCTGTGCCACGCTGGCACACTCTCGCTCGCTCTCCGTCTCCTGTCTCGTATTGATCCCGTATAGCCAAGCGCTGCATCCAGTTGTGTGTGTTTTTTTCGTGCGGAGGTTTATCAGCGACAGTGCCAGGCAGCTACTGTTCCCATTTGCAATCTCATTGATTTCCACCCTTCGAATTCTGGGTGTGGAATATGCTTCAAGCTGACTGATAAGGTCTCCGGGTTTCCTAGCAACCGCACAGGCCTGCCTGAGCGGAAACTCCCCCTGCCGCCAGTCTGGAACGTCTCCCAAATTAGTACCTTTATGAGACAAGGCAAGATGCTTCCTTCCCCACCCACCCCAGCTTGATTCCCAGGCTCCATGTTGGTCGGTATTAAAACGTTTGAGCACCGAAGGAGGTGTGGTAGAAGATTCGTTCTACTACAGCCGAACTCTGAATATTTGTCTTTCTTTCGTTCTTTAGATTTTGCTCGTTCTTGGGCATGGCCACACCGTGTGTCATCCTTCTAACTATACTTGGAGCAGAAGTAGCTGGCAAGTCCTCTGAAAGTTTGGTATGTATCGTGCATCCCGGTTTGCCCGATTTCAATCAATTAGAGGGAGTAACTCATCCGTTTTTGTATAACAAACGTTGAGTCCAGTAGCACCTTTAAGACCAGCAAAGTTTTTTTCAAGGTATTAAAGGTGCCACTGGACTCGAACTTTGCTCTGCTGCTTCAGACCAACACAGGTACCTGCCTAAATCTGTTTGTATATAGTTAGGGTTACCATCTCGCCAGAAAAAAAAAACCCTGTCTTGGGCCTTTGGTCTACAGGATCCAGCCAGAAGGATCTTCCATGATCCCTTGCTGTCTGGAGAGGCGCGTACTGCTACCGAAGCAATGGCTACAGAGGCCAGTTCCCAAGTCAGCAGCCCTAAATACACTGAATCCAGTTGCGCCTCCAGAATATTATTTTTCAGTTGGATTTAAAAACAACAACATTAAAATGGACAACGTCAACCAGGCACACACAACATCATCGTCTCTCGAAATTAAATGAGACATGCACAAAATGTTCAAAAGCGCGAAGCTACCATTAACATTTATTTCTGCGAAGGATGCCACTAATAAAAGGAGCAATGCACGAGGGAAAAAGGGGGAGAGCATCCTCCGAAAAGCCAAAACGACCACAGAGGAAAGGACCCCAGTAAAAATAAAGGACCCTTCTAAAGAATAAGCAAAGAAATAGACACAGAAAGACATAATGCTGAACAATAGACATCGGCATAACAGAGCAGTAAGTGTATTGTAGAACAAATTAATTGCAGAACAAATTATCACAGCCTACTGAACACTGGATAGGAATATAACTAATATAATTGATGAGTGCCCCTTCAGTAACAAGTAACTCCTTCAGATATCCATGCTCGGTGATTAACCGTTCTTCCATGTGAAGAGGGTACTTGTAACAACGCAATTCAGGCATGTAATCAAGCTGGTCTGGATGAAAGGCATCCATCCTGCAGTCTTCCTTTACGAAAAACGATAAGGTAATACAGGAGGCTTTAACATCTTAAAACGGTTTCTTGACACGTTCTTCCATACTTGGTAAGTTCTGTTGTTTTCCAGCAGTGAACTAAAGGCACACCAGTGAACTAAAGGCCTCAGCAACTGGTACAAGCTGGCAGGGCAGTGAATTTCTGAAAGAGTACTTTTCCTAAAAAGACTTATTTTGAAGGAAATGCCGTCGTGCAAGAGTAAAATCAGCTTCGATAATCACATTTCCCTTCTTCTGCATTCTGCAATAGTTTAGATAAAGGTAAAGGTTTCCCTTGCTCGAAAGCCAGTCGAAGAGCCAGCGCTGTCCAAGAACATTTCCGTGGTCATGTGGCCGGCATGACTAGACACCGAGGCACACGGAACGCTGTAACTTTCCCACCAAAGCGGTTCCTATTTATCTACTTGCAGTTTCTTGCTTTTGAACTGCTAGGTTGGCAGGAGCTGGGGCCAGAGACGGGAGCTCACTCCGTCATGTGGCACTCGGGTCTCAAACTGCTGATCTACCGACCTTCCGGTCTGCAGTTCAGTGTCTTAACCACTTGAGCCACGGCAGGTCCCTCCTCTGCAATGGTTTACTTGATCCTAATTATGTACTGAAGAGACGAAATTTGCCTTCAGAGCAACTCCCCCCCCCCACACACACAAACATCCCTTAAATAGTTCCTCTGCTCTTGATTTTGTTGTTGTTGTTGTTGTTCTCCCTCCTTTTTGGCAGATGGATGAAGCCCGCCCTGATTGTTACAGGTCTGATTTACTAAACTGCTCAAGGCTTGAATGATATGCTGTCTTCCCACCAGCCTGCGTGCTTTTAATCTCGTTACCTGTTTGTTTGTGGATGACTCATCATATTCCGCTGGAATCACCGCCCCAAAGGATTGGGGTGGGTTATTTGTTATTATGCAACATGACAAGAATTCCCTGAGCCGGAAGCTCGCAATCTAAATTTAGAAGGCGCCACCCCCTGCTTTCGCTCGAGGAGGTTCCCCTCTCTCTACAAACCCCGGGCTGCCTCCAGCACACCGTAGTTTTAAACAAAAAAAAATTGTAAGCTCTAGCTCCATAGCCTACGGGATTTCATAGGAGAAGAGGCTCTGACTGGAAAGGCCAGGCAAGCCCGATCTCGGAAGAAAAGCGGGGCCGACCCTGGGAAGTACTTGGGTGGGAGACCCCCGAGGAATACCAGGGCTGGGACGAAGAGACAGGCCATAGCAAGCCACCTCTCTGAACGTCATTTGCCTCCGAGCCCCACCAGGGGTCGCCAGAAGTCAGCCATGACTTCCAGTCGTGTGCGCGTACACACACACACACACACAATAAAATTTAAAAAGAGACCAGACCAGCATTTCATAGGAGAAAACATGGTTGTGTTGGTCAACGTTCAGTTCTTCCAACCCAGGGTTACAATCAATGTTCCCTCTAAGCTCTGGAGTTCTGTGAGCAAAAATTCTACTTTGTGAGCTACTGGCATTAAAGTTGTGAGCGAGCGATTTGGCTGCTGCATAAATCAGTTTACTTTGGAGCCATCCTTCCTGAGCTAAGACAAAAATCTGTGAGCCGGAGGCTAAAAATCTGTGAGCTAGCTCACACCAACTCAGCTTAGAGGGAACTATGGTTACAATCCCAGCCTCTTTCCCCTCCTCCGTTTTTACACATTGCTTCACCTGGCCTTCTGCTGTATCCACGTATTCTGCGACAGCTAGTCCATTTCACTGATTTGAAAGCCAGAATTGGGTTGATGAGAACCTCTGATAGGACAGTTACGTTTTTGGAGCACCAGAAGCTGACTTCTGCCCCGGCAGGTGCCAAATGGCCAGCCATGAGCTGCCCAGTGCAAGGAATTGGTCAAGAGGGACACTCAGAACACATGGCTCTCCTCTTTTCGGTTTATTCTCACAACAGCCCTGGGAGGGAGGGGGAACGTGGTGGTGGAAAGGGCCCTCGAATCGCTGCCAATTGACGGTAGCCTTTCATGGGGTTGGTTTTCAAGGCAGAAAGCAGACCGAGGTGGTTTGCCATTGCTCGCCTCTCTGTAGGAACTCTGGGCTTCCGTGGCGGTCTCCCATCCAAGCACCAACCAGGGCTGACCCTGCTTAGCTTCTGAGATCCAACGAGGTTGAGCTAGCCTGGCCCATCCAGGTCAGGGCGCGAGGTAGGTTCGGCAGTTTGGTGTAGTGGTTAAGTGCGCGGACTCTAATCTGGGAGAACCGGGTTCGATTCCCCACTCCTCCCCTTGCACCTGCTGATGTGACCTTGGGTCAGTCACAAGCTCTGGCACAGCTGTCCTTGAAAAAGAGCAGTATCTGTCAGAGTTCTCTCAGCCCCACCCACCTCACAGTGTGTCTGTTGTGGGGAGGGGAAGGGGAAGGAGTTTGTAAGCCGCTCTGAGACTCCAAGTGAAGGGCGGGGTATAAATCCAATCTCTTCTCCTCCTCCTCCTCCTCCCAGAGAGAAAGACCGGCCGGAGGTCAGCCTCCATGACTGAATGACAATTTGAAAACTGTTTCCCCCCCCCCTTCCCTCCCTTCCCACAGCCACCATCTTTCTACTTCTTTTTTTTTTTTAAATAAACATTTTAGGGTAGGCTACGGCCACTTGGAACTGATCCAGTAGTCGAAAGCCCAGGCATCGCAAGCCCAGAAGGCATTTCGTGTGCAAGGACAGGCAAAGAGCTAGAGAGAGTGCTGTGCTCCTGCCCTGGAATAACCTAGATTTGTGTATGCAATATTGTCAGCAAGCTGCCAATGTGTTTCCCTGTACTCTGTGTATGCTCTGATGTGTCACTATGCTCTGTATGTATTCTTATGTATCCTTGTCTTTGGGTATGCGCTTGTTTGCTTTCACTTTCCCATGTATGCCTGTTTATACGCTTAATTGCCTAGTAGCAGGAACGTCTGTATCTCTCAAGGCCGCAGATGGTTGCTGGAGTATAGTAGTTTGGGTGATCTCATGGCGTTATCCATGAGAAGCAGCATGTTATGAGTAAGTAGGAGCGTTGCTTCCCAGGCTCAATGGCGCGCGGGGGAAGTCCCGCAATTGGGCCTCAGCTTTTTGAATTTCTTATAATCTCTTGGGATCCATGCTTGTTTCTTATTCTGAACAGTGATCCTGTTATGCACCTATTGCTTCAAATAAAGAAACCTCTTTTCTACAAGTGTGTTCTTCGTTGATGCGATGAGAGTCTGACAAATATGCCAGTTTTAGACCGTCTCAGGCTCCTTCATCAGAGGTAGAACCAATTTAAAGTCCAGTGGCACCTTTAAGACCAACAAAGGTTTATTCGTGTCCTTTCGTGTGCAAGGCACTTTTTCAAATACATTGGAATGGTAGATGAGGTTCCAAACTTCTAGACAGGGATTTAACAGCAAATTAACACGTAACCTGGTGATGTTTAAGTTACGCAAAGTCAAAAACTGAACAACAAGTTAGGGTTATAACATCAACATTTGTAAAGCAATAAATATGTCAAAAGAGCAGATAAATGTCTAAAGGTGTTTTTTCTCTAATTGTGAGAAGTAACAGAATCTTAATTATCTCCAGTCAGGCATGGAGGGCGCACTTAACAGTTTATTTTGAGCTGAACGTAATGTTGTCAGCAGACATCCATTCAGTATTCTAATATGCTGTTCTAAAAAAGAAATACACTAAAATACAGAGGATTTATAGTCCTTCTTGTTGAGAATACATATTTGAGAACTGAATGAGTTAGCATATGTAATGGGATAAAAATCCAATATCCCTGTTGAGTCCTGGGGAGGTTTTTGTTCCAAGTGTTGTGATAACTTGTAAGTCAGCAATTTCCCTTTCCATTCTGTTCCTGAAGTTCCTTTGTAATAAAACAGCTACTCTGAGGTCATCCATTGAATGTCCTGGAAGGTTAAAGTGTTCTTCTACAGGTTTCTCAGTCTTGTAATTCCTGATGTCAGATTCGTGCCCAATTATCCTCTGACGTAGGGTCTGTCCTGTTTGTCCTATGTAGAGAACCGAAAGGTATTGCTGACATTTAATGGCATGTACAATGTTAGAAGATGAGCAAGTGAATGAGCCCCTGATGGTGTCGTTGATGTTGTTAGGTCCAGTGATTGTGTTGAAAAAGTGTTTGAAAAAGTGTGCCTTGCTCACGAAAGCTCACACCTTGAATAAACCTTTGTTGGTCTTAAAGGTGCCACTGGTCTCTAAATTTGTTCTACTGCTTCAGACCAACACAGCTGGCCAACTGGATCTATCTTCATCAGAGGTGTTTGAGTTCTATTAACGCAAAAGCAGGACTTCCTGAGTCTGTATACAGTCCTCTCCCGTAGAAGATCAAAGTATACTCTGAAAGGGAGGGAAATGCTTTTTAAATGGTTAATTTTGTGATATTGTCAGATCCTCTTGTTTCAGTGAGACATTGCCTACAAATGTCAGAATAAATGGTTCTAGCAGAGGTCATTCCGGGGGGGAATGCGGGGGAATGCAGTTCCCCCGGGTGAGGTGCAGGGGGGCGGGGCACATGATGAAGCCCCGCCCCCTGCTTCCGGCCGCCCTGCTTCCAGCCCTCATTCAGCCAGGAGGAGGCAGGAGAAGAAGGAGGGTAAGTTGCTTCCTCCCCGCCTCTCCCCACCCCTGCCTGCCTGGGGCCAGGGAGGGCCTTGGCAGGGCTTCCTCGCACTCCCGCTGGCCTTGCAGGTCCACCGCCGGGCCCCTGATGTCAGGGGGTGTGGCATATGCTAATGAGTTATGCTAATGAGTTCCCCTAGCTCTTTTTCTACGAAATGACCCCTGGGTTCTAGTATGTTTTGACTTGCTTGTCATGGGTCACTGACCCCTTTGCAAGGTCCAGGGAGAGAACACTGCATGTTTTGTCCATCTTCTGCAAGTCAGCACACAAACCTTGCAGTCACAGGTCAAATCTTCCTTCCAAGTGCCCCCCAATATAGCCCCTCCACTCTGTGTTTGCAGGCAGGAGATGGTGAGGAATTTCAGACAGATGATATAATTCGGAAGAGGAACGGTTCCCAAACGGTTTCTGGTCTGTCATTTCAGACAGAACCGTTTTAGAACCGGTTCCCTACCAGAATATATTTGTAATTTCACACACAAGCGCTTCTGTCCGGTTTAGGAAACGGGGCTGAAGCTTCCAAGTAGTCTTCAGTTTCCTCTCCCAGTTCCGATGCGCTTTTCCCCGCCGTTGGAATGCCTGGAGTATTGTGTTATAGCACCATAGCGCTATAGCGTTCTAAAGAGAACGTTAAAAAAAAAAAGCCGGAGATCGCCCAGACGGGTGAAAAACGGCGGGGGGAAAAGCAGTGCAGTCTGAAATGGCAAATCGCTTCAGATCCAGCTCTTTCCCAGAAGGGGAAAGCCATGTGTGAAATGGCAGCCCTATACCGGTTTACTCCATGACAGATCAAAAACGGCTTCAAAACGGGTTAAAAAGGGTAATGTGACATTCCTAGGTGTGAAAGACGCCCTGGGAAACAGTGAGAAAATACCTTTATTTTTTTTAAAAAAAAAACCTCTGCAGGTGAGGAGTCTGGGTTGATAGAACTGTGAAAGCTGGTTTTCCTAACTGCGTTGAGAATTGCCAGCTCGGTCTTTACGAGCTTATGCAGTTATTTCCTAATGAGCTTTCTAGGTTTTCGTTCTGACAGCTCAGGCCGTCGCGGAGTCTCATTTGAATTCTAAATATGCAGAAAAGGAGCGGCACGTCTTCACTTACAGAAGCACAAATCGGACTAACGTGCAGAGTCAGGACGCCAGGGCATCCAGCCTCTTATTGTCTGCACTTACATGAAGCTGTTCCAAGATCTCAAGGTCTTTCCCAGCCCCTCTTTAACTGAAGGTGCCCGGGATAGAACCTCTGACCTTCTGCATACATTCATGCAAGGTATATGCTCTGTCATGGAGCGACCATCTTTCTGTGGGGCGCGCCCTGCTTGCTTCAGATGAAGGAAGCAGACCTCTCCCAAAACTCTGCTATGCAGATGCCTTTAAAAATAGGAAGGTTTCCGAGAACAGGAAGACTGAGGCGTCTTCCTTGAGAATAGGCTCGTAACATTAAAAAAAACAAACCCACTTGGCGTGAGCCCAATAAAACTGCTTTTGAAAAATTTCTAATTGGCAATGGGAATTCCTAGTTTTTCAAGCATTGCTCTTCTTACTCCTTAGTGGAAGGCTTTTATGGAGAGGTTCAGAGCCAATTTCCTGTCAAATTGTGAAGAGGATACGTATGGTAAATAGAGACTGTCTGTCATTACAATCTGGGCACATCGCAACTTTCCCCAAAGAAGCAGCTCCCCCCCCCCATGCACACACATGCTCACCTTCCCTCCTCCGCAACCACAACCCTGTTACTTTCAAAATGTCACACATGGTGTTGACAAGATAACATGCAGTGTTGTCTATAAGGGCTGCTTTCCCTTTGACAGCATTCACACCTCAAGAAGGGGGCCACGTGTGCGTCTGTCTGCATCGGCGCATAGGAGCATTAAATGAGCAGCACTACAAGAACAGCTAGGCTCCTGTATTCTGTAGCATTCTCCAGCTGAATCCGCACCGTGGTCTTCCAGGAGGAAGGGTGAGCGTGAAGCCCTTCCTCCTCTCCTTCCTTCGGCCCGTGGCTGGACACCTAGCGCTAAGGGGAAGCCAAAGGCTACACCAAGGGAATCAGAGTGGAACACCCGCGCACCTAAATGCGAGCTGCTTCCTCTCCTCGACATTTCCTTTGTAATTGGACAAGGACAGTTAAGTGCCGAGCACCAGTCAGTCACTCTGAGGGCATCTTTGTGCTCGTGGTGAACCAGAACAGTGGGAGGCGGGAGCTAGGGTTGTCAGTCTCCAGGTGGTGGCTGGAGATCTCCTGGGTTTACAGCTGATCTCCAGGAGACAGATCACCTGGAAAAAAACAGCTGCTTTGGAAGGTGGGCTGAATGGCATTGTACCCCAATGAAGTCCTTCCCCTCCCTAAACCCTGACTTCCTCAGGCTTTCTGTTGTTCAGCTGCACAGTCAAGTCCGACTCTTCGTGACCCCATGGACCACATCACGCCAGGCCCTCTTGTCTTCCGCCATCCTCCGGAGTTTGCTCAGGTTCATGTCCGTTGTATCAATAACCCTGTCTAACCATCTCGTCCTTTGCCGTCCCCGTCTTCTTTGACCTTCCCTCCTTCCCAGCACCAGGGTCTTCTCCAGTGAGGGCTCCCTTCTCATTTGGTGGCCAAAGTATCTGAGCTTCAGCTTCAGTCTCTGGCCTTCCAGGGAACAGTCAGGGTTGATTTCATTTAGGATTGACTGATTTGATCTCCTTGCAGTCCAAGGGACTCTCCAGAGTCTTCTCCAGCACCATAATTCGAAAGCACCTATTCTTCGGCGCTTGGCCTTCCTTATGGTCCAACTCTACTACTGGGAATACCACTGCTTTGACTATGCGGATTTTTGTTGGCAGGGTCCTCAGGTTCCACCCCCACCCCCCAGATCTCCAAATATTTCCCAACCTGGATCTGGCAACCCTTGTGTGTGCAGGTGTACTTCTTGCAGGGCAGTTGCGTAGAACTGTCTGCACAGTTTTTCATTCTATCGAAGTAAATGGGCTAGACTGGTTGTTTTCCCCCAATGGAAGCTGAAAAATTCTGGGAAGGGGAACTGGAGTGTCCCTGAAGAGGCCCAGCTCCTACCCAGTTGCTGTCCGTTATCCTCCTGGTTCACTGCCTTCCCTGCCGGAGTTGACCTGTTGGATAGACATTGCACCCAAAAAATCCCCCCTCCCGGTGATTTATCGGCATCAACTTGGTACGGGCCGTGGCTCAGTGGTAGAGCATCTGTTTGTCCTGCAGAAGGTCCCAGGTTCAATCCCCAGCATCTCCAGATGAAAGGACCAGGCAGTAGATGATGTGAAAGACCTCCGCCTGAGACCCTGGAGAGCCGCTGCCAGTCTGAGTTGACTGTACTGACTTTGATGGACCAAGGCTCTGATTCAGTAGAAGGCAACACAAAACGGTGTGCAAGCTTGTAGAGTCCTCCAAAGCTTCAGCGCTAGCCCAGTCTCATCAGATCTTCGAAGCTAAGCAGGGCCGGCCTTGGCTAGTATTTGGAGGGGAGACGGCCAAGGAATGCCAGGGTCACGACGCAGAAGCAGGCAATGGCAAGCCACTGCTGAACATCCCTTGCCTTGGAACCCCCCCCCCCCTGCGGGGTCACCATAACTCAGCTGTGACTCGATGCCTCCCCTCCAAGCTCCACCAGGCCAGATGTTTGGTAAGCCAGGACCAAGCCTGCCTCTCCCCACCAGAGGGCACTGCAGGAGAGCCAACCACAAACGCCAAGGCTTCCAACCTGCCCTGAGGTTTCTCCTACCATGGCGCCGGCTGAGACCGGGAAGTAACCATTGTGATGGGGTTTTTACAAGTGAAGAGCTCCGCCCCTCCTCCCAGCAAAACATGTGGGGCACATCTGGGTCGCAAGCCTGAGTCAGAGCCATTCCTCCTGCTAGGCTTTATTCCAGCTGTAAAGATCAAGATAACGCTTGCTGACACCACCCAGACGTAAGGCTTGGTGCATCGGACAAAGAGCTCTGGCCCATGCGAGCCTCGGCCGCAATGAACTGGTTGCGCTGGACAGCCAAAGTGGCTCCCCCTCTGGCATTGTTCTTGTGGAAACGAATTGTTCTCTCTCTCTCTCTCCTCCCGTCCCCTCCCTTTCTGTGAATGTTTTCCAGATTCTTTAGGTAAAGGTGTGTCTTTTTCCTCTCCTTCCCTGTAAAGCATGTCTAACAAGCACTTGTTGCCCCAGCCCCTCCTGCCGGACCCATCGGGTGCAGTCACGAAATCAGAGCCGGGCTGTCATTCTCGTGGAGGAGCAGAAAGTGTTCCGGTGGGAGGGGAGACCTGCAGGCAAACAGCCCTCTCTTACCCTCACCCCCTTTCCCCCATCTCTTAGGAATCGGAGCTCGAGTGTTGCGTGGACACGATGGAGGTCAACACCACCTGCCTAGCCAGCAGCCAGTGCAGTCCAGGTAAGGGGGAGCCCTTTGTCCTGGCCCCGAGGGATCTGTCGGTGAAGGGGAAGCAGTTGGCCTTGACTGGTATAGCTGCCCGCCTCCCTCAGAAGAACGGGGTGGTCAATGGGGGGGCTTCTGGTGGAGCAGGTGTGGCCCAGGCAGAACAGGATCCAGTTTGGTGTCGTGGTTAAGTGCGCGGACTCTAATCTGGGAGAACCGGGTTTGATTCCCCACTCCTCCACATGCAGCTGCTGGTGTGACCTCGGGTCAGTCACGAGTTCTCTCAGAGCTGTTCTCTCAAGGGCAGTCCTCAAAAGAGCTCTCTCAGCCCCACCTACCTCACAGGCAGTGTTCCCTCTAAGCTGAGTTAGTGTGAGCTAGCTCAGTTTTTTAGCCTCCGGCTCACACATTTTTTGTCTTTGCTCAGGAAGGATGGCTCCAGAGCACACTCATTGATGCAGTAGCCAAATCTCTTGCTCACAACTTTCATGACAGTAGCTCACAAAGGAGAATTTTTGCTCACAAGACTCCACAGCTTAGAGGGAACATTGCTCACAGGTTGTCTGTTGTGGGGAGGGGAAGGGAAAGGAGATTGTAGGCCGCTCTGAGACTCCTTTGGATAGTGAAGGGCAGGGTATAAATCCAATCTCTTCCCTTCTTCTTTTCTTAATGAGCTGTGGGCTTAGAACAGATAAAAGGAAGTCCTTCTTCACCCAAAGATTAATTAACAGGTGGAATTCACTGCATGAGGAAGTGGTGGTGGCTACAAGCCTAGATAGCTTCAAAAGGGAACTAGATAAATATATGGAACAGAGGTCCATCAGTGGCTGTTAGCCCGAAGGTATAGATGGAAGACTCCCTCTGAGGCAGTGATGCTATGTGTTCTTGGTGCCTGGGGGGCAAGAGTGGGAGGGCTTCTGGAGTTCTGGCCCCTCTGGTGGACCTCTTGATGGTGCCCTGGGTTTTGGCCACTGTATGCCACAGAGTCCCGTACTGGATGGGCCACTGGCCTGATCCAACATGGCTTCTCTTATGTCCTTACATCTGGGGCAGTGATGCTCTGTATTCTTGCTGTTGGGGGGGGGCAACAGCGGGAGAGAGGCACATGAGTTTTGGCCAGTGTGTAACACTGGATGGGCCAACAGCCTGATCCAACATGGCTTCTCTTACATTCTTAGGGTAGGTCAGAGGATTTGGGAAAGCAGGGGGGCAGAAGTGGGGGGTAGGGGCTGGAAGGAAGCACTGGGAGAGGTGATTCATGTAGGTGTGGGAGAAGTGGCTGGAAATAGGAGTCCGAAAGAAGGAAGAACGTCATTGTCTGGCATCCAACAGTGTTTAGTATTGGCGTGCTGTACCTCTAGTCCAGTCCATGTCACTTTGGGCCTGTCCCTCACACTTTGTCTCTGTCTGACCTGCCTCACTGGGTTGTTGGTGCAAGAGAGGACCACCACGTATGCGCCACCCTCAGTTTCTTGAGGAAGAACGGGATAAAACCAGGCCTATTTTCCTTTGCTCAGCTTATTGCAGAGAAGCACATTTGCCCAGAAATCCCGTACACAAGAAGCCAGCTGCTTTTCCTCTTGGTCACCCTCCAGAGTCATCCCTGAGGCAAAGGGAAAACGGATGACTGTGGGATAATATAACTTGCTGTGTGTGTTTTCAAGTGGCAACCCTGGCCAAACCGTGTGGATCTCTGAGCTCTCAGATGGGCAGTGATGGCGGCCTTTTCTTTTTTTTGAGGCTTATAAATTGTATCCTTCCCTTTCTTCCCACTTCCACCCCCAATGCTAACACAGCTAATAACACTCCCCCCCCCCGCCCAGTTGCACAAAGCAATTTAACGCTGAGACACCAAATGGTTGCCAATAAATTCCAGATTTCAATTTTTCATATCAATCCTCGGAAGGTTAATCTATCACAGCCTTCGGTGTCAGTGAAAGAGCTTTGTTGTTTTTTCCTTTCCTTCCCCTTCTCTTTTAGTACTGTCAGAAATCTTTGCCCTCCCACGAGGGCCATTTTTATGTTTAGATTAAATGTCAGATGTAATTTATCATCAAGGGCATCTAATGTGCAGCTTCCCGCTGAGGCAAAACCATACGGCGGCGTTCGGCCTCCCAATCTCTGCCACGTTCATGAGATCCTTTATGCAATAATTGATCCCCCGTTTTGGCTCAAGGCACTTGGGGGGGGCAACTCTCTTTTGTTGGGTGGGGTTTCTGCCACATGACCCCTTTGGGCTCTTAAAATCCAATCGCTTGCCCAGCTGAGCAACTTCAGCAGCTGACTGAAAATCGTTAGCTTTATTTTGCCCCAAAATGTTATTTGCATAGCAAGACGAAAGAAATATTCTCATGAAAAAACTTCCAATTTTAAGAGGAGCCAAAATTATTTTTCTTCAGCTGTCTTGGTGGATTAGACCAAAGAGCTATCCAGTCCACCCTTTTTGCTTGGAGCAGCCAGCCAGACATCTGCAGAGAAAACATTTTTGTAGAAATACAAGATGGTTGCGGTGCTGGATTTCAACCCAGGAGACCAGGTTTAAATTCCCACATGGCCGCAAAGTTTTACTGAATGGTTTCTGGTCAATTGCTGTGTAATGATTCCATTTTTGGTGTGTGTTTTTCTTTAAATGTTTAGTGTGACTGCAGTAATATAAGGAGAGTGATAGAGGGAGGCAAGTGTGATGTGATTGGCTGATGACTGAGAATGTGGAAGGAGAGATTTCTATGAGGGGATTCTGTGTTCTTGAAGAGACAAGTGTGGAGAGTTTTTGTGGGAGTCTGTGTGACAGGAAGCAGTTGGAGTTTAGTTTAGGCTGTGTGGCTATGAGAGAAAGTTCAGCCTGTGTGGCTATATGAGCAAGAGAGTTCAGCCTGTGTGGCTATATATGAGAGAGAGAGATAAGCCTGTCGGAGTTGAGTTTTGGTGTCTGAGAGACTGTGTGTGACACCAAGCCTTGTCAGTTATATTTTCTTTCTTCAACAACAGTTCAAAAATACCCAGAAACCTATTTTGTTCTTTTATAAATAAATCATTACTTGTTTAAACTTATCCCAGCAATCAGAACAGTCCTTCCTCAGGGCCACATAGTCCTCTGAAGCGCCCAGACACTGGGTCATTCTACCAAAATAGAGATTTGGAATTTTTAATTCCTGGTGGCAGCAGAAATCTACTAAGTTCATGTACACAGATTGTGGTTTAAAGGAGAAATAGTCTCCCCAATAAGCGAGGACGCCACATGCTCTCAGCCTAGCCTACCTTGCAGGGTTGTGATGAGGATGAGATGTGGGAGGGGCACCAGGTTTAGCCTCTTGGCACGCTGGGATGCACGAGGAGCTGGTTCTGGGTTCCGGCCACGGAGCAAGGAGAGATCCTTCAGGAGTGGTATCAGGGAAGGAGCCATCTGGCAAGCGAAGCGAAGCGAAGCTGGTTCCGCACGGACCTCGATGGCCCACCGGCGGGCTGCTTGGTTGCTTTCCCAGGTCACCCCCTCTGACCTGCTTTCCCCCCCCCCCACTCAGGCTGCTACAGGCGGTGGAACGAAGACGGCAGCAGCAGCTGCATCAAGTGCGAGAATGAAACGGTCCCTGCCACGCCCGCTTACAATCTTACCGATTGCCGAAACGGTGAGTCTCAAAAATGTCGGTCCTCCCCTCCCCGGCCCGTGGCCATTGCACAAGGGACTAATTGTGGGATATTGTAACTCTGCATGCAAGAGGACCTGGGAGGGAAAGGGTTAAGAGAATTCTTGCTCTCACTTGACAGTTGGCCCCGCCCTCTCATCGGTTAGATGCTGAGCCTTCTGTGTTCCGTCCTATATGGGACCTCTCTTCTCCTCCTCTCTCTTACCTGGGCTCCGAGCTGTAGCCCGTTAACCTTTTATTGGAGCTAATCTGTTCACAAATTCACTGTCCCTGCATGAACATGTCACGTAAGATGCGCTTCTGTTTTTGTAAGTAAAAAATTTCTTTCTCTTGTTACCCTTGGGAGTCAGGTCATCTTTGTCATTTGTTTTGAACGGCATTTTCGCCTTAACCGGGAAACGTGGTAGATCAGGGATACTGCGTAAAAGCTTCTGCGCCTCCAAGGCAAATGATATTTTTTTACATTTAACCCACTACATTTGGGGAGGGAGGAAGAATGTGTCAGAAGAGATCCCGAGAAGCAGCATCTTTCTTTTGCTTCCTTCTTCGGTACTTCATTGCTTCCACATTTCCTAGACCTGCCGCTTCCTGTCCTCGTTATCCCAAAAGAATCCAACAGGGGCTACCAGTGAAACAAGCGGCCAATCCAAGGCACGCAGGCAGTTTTGCTGCTCCCCCCAGAGAGAAGGGTGGGAGAACAGATCTAGGAACTCTTCGGCTCAGATTTTGCCCCTGCTTGCTTCATAACCTTAAGATGACCAGCCTCAGCTCCACTCCTCACCTTTAATATGGCAATAATACCAATTTATGTTACAGAGATGAGGATGGTATCCAAAAGAGCCGGTATAGTGGGGTGTTTGACCTGCATGGCCCAGGCTAGCCCAATCTCATCAGATCGAGAGCCAGTTTGGTATAGTGGTTAGGAGTGCAGACTCTAATCTGGGAGAACCGAGTTTGATTCCCCACTCCTCCACATGCAGCTGCTGGTGTGACCTGGGGTCAGTCACAAGTTCTCCCAGAGCTGTTCTCTCAAGGGCAGTCCTTGAGAGAGCTCTCTCAGCCCCACCTTCCTCACAGGGTGTCTGCTGTGGGGAAGGGAAAGGGATTATAAAATGCTCTGAGACTCCATTGGGTAGTGGAGGGTGGGGTATAAATCCAATCTCTTCTTCTTCATCATCTCGGAAGCTAAGCAGGGTCGGCTGCAGTCAGTATTTGGATGGGAGACCACCAAGGAAGCCCAGATTCACTACACAGAGGCAGGCAATGGCACCCCATCTCTGTCCGTGCCTTGAAAACTCCACGGAGTTGCAGTAGGATGGATGCAAATGGGGGGGGGAGTGCAGTGGTCTTTGTCCTTTCCAGGCCCCGCCTTTAACCCTCGGGGGTCAGATAGCAGCGGGACTCACTGAACTGTCCGCATCCAACAGTAAGAGGGGAGCGCCAAAGCTACCACCTCGCCAGGATCTGGGCCAGTGCTGCGGACAGCCAACCCTGAAAACCGGGGATGAGACACACAAGCTGAGAAGCTAGGGGGTGTTATGTAGTGTAGTAAGGAACAATCCAAGGATCAGGGCCACAGAACCGTTCCGTCCAGCCTAGCGTGACCTTCCTGCCGCCCCTCTGAGCGTGTGTGTTCAGTAGGGTTATCAGCCTCAGGTGGGGTCTAGACGTCTCCGAGAATTACTGCTGATCTCCAGACATGGGTTCCCCCTGGAGAAAACGGCTGCTTTGGAGGGAGGGCTCTGGGTGGTGTTATCGCCTGCCGAGGCTCCGCCCCTTCCTAACCCCGCCCTCTTCAGGCTCCGCCTCCAAATCACCAGGGCTTTCCCAACCTGGAGTTGGCAGCCCTAGTGCCGAGAGAGGCAGGGGTTACGGCACCCCTTGTTCTCTGTCCATCCGCACCGGCAGCAGATCCTTCCAAAAAGCAGCAAAGAAATATGAGTGCTCTCTAGGGGGTTGTGGACCTGCCCGAGGGTCCTGATCCAAGGGCTGAAGACCACTTGCTTGGAATGAGGACTGGGAAGACCCCAAGTTCAAAGCCCCATTCAGCCCTGAAGCGTACCGGGGGACGTGAGCTATTACGGTTGGTCTGTCTCATCGTGACCCAGCTCACGGGGCTTAGGGTAAAATGGAAAGGCTGGAAAAAAAGTAGTGGATGTCAGCCCCTTTTGGTGTCATTCATTCCACCGTGCACAGCTGCAGCAGCAGAAGTCACAAGTGGGAAAAGAAGGACTTTGGAAGCTGAATCAACAGGTGGCCGGAATATCAGAAATGTAGAACTATTTCTTGGGAGGCTCTTGGAGGCTGATGTCTCAGGAGCCAGCATGGTACAGTTGTTAAGAGACGTAGACTCTAATCTGGAGAACTAGGTTCGATTCCCCTCTCCTTCTCCACATGTCGCCTGCTGGGTGACCTTGGGCCAGTCACAAGTTCTCTCAGGACTCTCTCAGCCCCACCTGCCTCACAAAGTGCCTGTTGTGGGGAGAGAAAAGGAAGGCAATTATAAGCCACTTTGAGACTCCTTCGGGTAGAGAAAAGCAGGGGGTAAAAACCAACTCTTCTTCTGGTGTGCAACAGCTAAAGAGTCAGACTAAGGTTTGGGTTCAGATGCTCCTTCTGCCACAAAGCAACTCCTTGGAGGAAGGGAAGGAGAAGAAAATAGTTGAATACTTAAATTTGTGGCCAAGAGCTTCAGCAGGGGTATAGTTTTCACCTGAGTTTCAGAACAGCAGCTTGTGTGCATGAAATGTGGGCCGCTCTCAGCTTAAGAGCTGGTCCATGCATGCAGTGGTAGAATGAACTGTGTGCTTCTTCAGACTTGATAGGGAAGGGTTCACTTGTTGTCCGTCCGTCCGTCCCCCCCCCCAGATTTAAAAACAAAAATGGAAAACTGGCATGCTAGGAGGAAAAGAGTTCCAGCCCATTCCTTGCTATGCTAGCTTTCTGCTTGCCTGGAGGATTATCATCACACGGGTGCACTCAAAAATGTCACCCTCTGCCTGCAGTCAGAGGTGTCACAGTCCATCCTTTCACTTTTTATAGAATCAGACTCGGAAGGGGCCATAGAGGCCATCTAGTCCAACCCCTTCCTCAATGCAGGATCAGCCTGGAGCATCCCTGACAAGTGTTGGTCCAGCCACTGCGTAAAGCCCGCCAGTGAGGGGGCGCTCACCACCTCCCTGGGCAGCCGATTCCACTGTTGCACAACTCTGACTGTCAAAAAGTTTTTCCTACCTTCCCACCCTGAATTTAAGCCCATGAATGCAGAGTCCTCTCCTCTGCTGCCAACAGGAACAGCTCCCTGCCCTCCTCTAAGGGACAGCCCTCCAAATGCTTCAAAAGAGCCATCCTGTCCCCCCCCCCCTCAATCTCCTCTCCTCCAGACTAAACATCCCCAAGTCCCTCAGCCTTTCCTCCTAGGGCCTGGCGCATCCTTCTGCTCCACATGTAGACCAGGTTTCTGTCTCGACCGTGTATAAGCAGAAGTACTCCTTGGTGACGCAGCTTCCCTTTGTTGTCTTCCAGGTGGTGCCAGAGGAGTGAACTCCCAAATTAATTCAACTAGCCCATCCCCAGTTCCGCAGAGCACAGGTGAGCAAGGCTGAACAGGCTCTGCCTGAAGACACTTAGATCCACATGCGGGTGTGTTCAGAGATCGAAGGAGTCATGGCTTCCATCTGGGATGGGACCAGGACCTGACGCTCTGCGCGCACAAGGTCCTAGGTTCGATCCCCAGCATTGCCAGTTAAAGGTATCTTAGGTACAGGCAGGGCTCTTTTTGTAGAGAAAGCCCAGCAGGAACTCATTAGCATAATAGGCCACACCCAACAGCAGAAACTCATTAGCATATTAGGCCACACCCCTGTATTACCAGATGTGTGCTCATCCAGCCACACCCACCTTTTGCTTTTTATTCTGTTTACCCTGTTTGTTGTCAAAACGGAGGGCTTTTTTGTAGCAGGAACTCCTTTGCATGTTAGGCCACACACCCCTAATGTAGCCAATCCTAATGAGTTTCTGCTGTTGGGTGTGGCCTATTATGCTAATGCAGTCCTGCTGGGCGTGGCCAACTTGGGAGCCAGCCGGAACTCCGTTCCTGTGCGTTCCTGCCCCAAAATAGCCCTGGGTACAGGGAAAGCCCTTTCAGCATTCTGTGGTTTAAAATAAATCTCTTCATTTAAATGACTTCTGTGTATCACAGGTGGTGGCAGCCCAGGGGCCTCCATAGAAAAGGCGCTGTCTCTCCTTAGGGAGCTGCTTTACTGCATCTGCTCACAAGACCAAGAAGGGAATGTGCCCCATGTGTCCTTGCGTCAGCCCACATCCAGATATTTAGAAGCAGCCAGACTGACTGCCAGTTTGCTTCCCAGTTCAATCGAAGGGCTTTTTCTTAACTGACTGTTATTAAAGCCCTTAACAAGCTGGGAGTCCAGTGTTCCCTCTAAGCTGAGTGAGTGTGAGCTAGCTCTCAGTTTTTTAGCCTCCGGCTCACACATTTTTTGTCTTAACTCAGGAAGGAGGGCTCCAGAGCAAACTAACTGATGCAGCAGCCAAATCGCTCGCTCACAGCTTTAGTGCCAGCAGCTCACAAACTAGAACTTCTGCTCTCAAGACTCCGCAGCTTAGGGGGAGCATTGGCTGGGACCCACGTATCTAAAGGACCCCCCTCTCCTGGTATTGACCCAGTGTGTTCTTTTAGGTCTGCCCAGTGGTTCCCTCCTGACTCCACCCCCCCCCCCCCCACCCCCCCCCCCCCCGGCTTCTCAAGTACTGGCTTCCAGTTCTGAAACAGCTTACTGGAGGATGTTTGCTAGCCCCCCCCCCTTTTGATTGCTTTTGACTATTTGTGGGTTTTCATTGTCTGCCTGAGAAAGTGGCATGTATCGGGGCAAAATATGTCTGGACCAATGCTCCCTCTAAGCTGTGGAGTCTTGTGAGCAAAAATTCTACTTTGTGAGCTTCTGGTATTAAGAGATTGGATTTATACCCCGCCCTTCACTTGGAGTCTCAGAGCGGCTTACAAACTCCTTCCCTCCCCACAACAGACACCCTGTGAGGTGGGTGGGGCTGAGAGAACTCTGACACAAACGGCTCTTTCAGGAACAGCTGTGCCAGAGCCTGTGACTGACCCAAGGTCACATCAGCAGGTGCAAGTGGAGGAGTGGGGAATCAAACCCGGTCCTCCCAGATCAGAGTCCGCGCACTTAACCACTATACCAAACTGGCTCTCATTAAAATAGTGAGCGAGGGATTTGGCTATCGCATAAATGAGTTTGCTCTGGAGCCCTCCTTCCCGAGCTCAGACTAAAATGTGTGAGCCGGAGGCTAAAAAACTGAGCTAGCTCACACTAACTCAGCTTAGAGGGAACACTGGTCTGACCCTCAAATTATTCTGTGGACTTGGGCAGATCATGAGAGGGAGAGCAGGAAGGATTGCATCAGTGCTTAGTTCTCATGGCCCTTTCTTACACGCCCAGGGAAATGCCGATTGCCCCTTTGGGGTCAGGAAGCAATTTTTCTCCAGGCCAGTTTGGCCAGGGATCCTGGAGGTTTATATTACCATCTTCTGGGAATGGAACAGAGCTCACTGGGGGGGAGGGGGGGAGTTATTTGTGAATTTCCTGCCTTGTGCAGGGGGTTGGACTAGGTGACTCTGGAGGTCCCTTCCAACTCTATGATTCTATGAATGTTGTTCCACACGTGACCATCGGTGAGGAACCTCCTTGCTCCGTCATCCTGATCTCCCCCCCCATTCCCCCCCCCCACAGGGCGGCCGGAAGTCGCAGCTTCTCTCATCTTTGGGACGTTCTTTATCAGCCTCTTCCTCATAATGTGCGTGGCTTCATTCTTCTACCTCAAACGTGCCAATAAACTTCCAAACCTCTTCTACCGGCGAAGCAAAGGTAACTTCACCCGGCTTCCTTTCCCCTTGAACGACCCCAGTCACAAACCTTCAGGATCAGACTGTCGAGTCCAGCGTTCGGTTTCCAACTGGGGCGGTGCTCTTCGTGCTCTCTCCATTATTGTTTGCCCCCAGCATCTGGTGTTCACAGGTATACTGCCTCTGTACGTGGAGGATCCATCCCTAACCAGTACAGTCAATTAGAACGACCTTGCTGGGTCTGATCCACTCTGATTCCCAGGGCTCAGCGTCTTATTTGTGCCAGCTGCCTCCCGAGCAGGGCATGAAAGTGAAGGTTTTCTCCCGTTGTCCGTCTCCAGAAGCTGACACTCAGTGGAATTTAGATTCTCCTGGAAGTTGCAGCCTTGGCTATCATGACCAATAAGCTGCCAGTAGACCAATTTACTATGGGGCCGCGGTGACTCAGAGGTTAAGACTCTGAGCTGCAGATTGGAAGGTCTTTAGTTCGATAGTTTGAGACCCGAGTGCCACGTGATGGAGCGAGCTCCCGTCTCTGGCCTCAGCTCCTGCCAACCTAGCGGTTCGAAAGCAAGAAACTGCAAGTAGATAAATAGGTACTGCTTCGGTGGGAAGGGAACAGCGTTCCGTGCGCCTCACATCTAGTCATGCCAGCCACATGACCACGGAAACGTCTTCGGATAGCGCTGGCTCTTCAGCTTTGAAACAGAGATGAGCACTGCAACCCTAGACTCGGATTAGACTGGCTTTCGAGCAAGGGAAACCTTTACCTTTTTAAAGACCAATTTACTACAAATCCTGTTTGTAGCCAGTTTGGTGTAGTGGTTAAGTACCACTACTGTATGTAGTGAGCCAGTTTGGTGTAGTGGTTAAGTGTGCAGACTCTAATTAAGTGGTTAAGTGTGCAGACTCTAATCTGGGAGAACCGGGTTTGATTCCCCACTCCTCCACTTGCACCTGCTGATGTGACCTTGGGTCAGTCACAAGCTCTGGCACAGCTGTTCTTGAAAAAGAGCAGTTTCTGTCAAGAGCTCTCTCAGCCCCGCCCACCTCACAGGGTGTCTATTGTGGGGAGGGGAAGGGAAAGGAGTTTGTAAGCCGCTCTGAGACACCTTTGGGTAGTGAAGGGCGGGGTATAAATCCAATCTCCTCCTCCTCCTTTGCAAGGCCCTAATAATTTGCTGGGCAAGACCAGAGGCCTGTCATGAATCCAGTATTACCCTTCCAATAGCATTTAGCCAGGTCCCTCTTGGAAGCTCACAAGTTGACTGTGAAAGTGAAGACCTTCAACTGTTGTATTTCCCCTGCATCCCGTTAGGGAGCTCAGACCGTGCTGTGTTCTCCCTGTTAAGTGGGAAAATGGTTTGTGTTTTTTGAATATCTTACTGCTTGTCAACCCCGATTATATGCACTACCTCAGAAATATAGAGACTTTGTGTTTTATTAATAAGTATTGTGCGTATGGATAACATTTATCTTCTTGTTTATTAGATGTTGTCGAAAGATACTGTATACAACTAACAAGTAATACAGGATGTAAAAATATATAAAACTCAATAAAAATGCCCTCTCTGCAGGTCCCTCAACAACGTAGAGCATTCACCCTGGCCAGATGTAATGCCATGCCATCCGCCATCTTACTCGGCAGATTCAACAAGGTCTCTCATTTGGCCAGATACTGCCCATGTAGGAAGAAATGCGTGGAATCTGTCACTCATGTTCTCCTGCACTGTAATCTGTACACGGACCTAAGGATCACACATTTATATTCTCTTTTAACCAGTATGGGTGCTTGTTCTGATGCACTTAAGGTGCATAGACCTTTAAGTGATCTCAGCCCGGACATTACAGAGAAGGTGGCTAAGTTTCTCTCCTTGGCTTTAAAGCTGCGCCTAAGGTTCTTTTAGATTTTTATATGTGTGTTCAACTGGTTTTAAAATGTATAAATGGTACTGATATTCTATGCCAATAAAGGCTGACTTGACTTGCTATTTAAAAAAAAAGTGCGCTTGCATGGGCCATCGTTGCACACCCACGCTGATGTAAGAGGGACGATGCAAACCAAGGAAGAGAGATCACGGGATGGACGGTGGAAAAGAGCAAAACGACCGTGACCTATTTATGCCAAAGAAAAATATCCACAGACTTACGTAAGTTCTTATTCAGTGTCCAATTTACTTGGAGCAATTCAAACGCCATCAACACCACAGCGGACCATGCGTATCATGTCTCGTTTCGTTTTCAAACTTTGTCAGAGTGGACACACTAGTGGATTTGAAGATTGTTACCATGAGAAATGGCCATCGTTCTTGCTAAATGAATTAATAGGAATTTCAACTCTACCCACTCTGATAAAGTTTGAAAACGAAACAAGACATGATTCACATGGTCCACTGTGGTGTTGATGGCTTTTGAATTGCTCCAAGTAAATTGGACATTGAATAAGAACTTATGTCTGTGGCTATTTTTCTTTGGCATAAATCGATCACAGTTGTTTTGGTCTTTTCCACCGATGTAAGAGGGACAGCAGTAAATCCCCTGCCGGGTCAGCCCAAAAGCCCATCTAGCCCAGACTCCTGTTTCCAGGCCAGCCGGCAAGAGGCCCCTTGGAAGCTCACAGTCTTTCCCGTTTTTGTTTCCAGCATCTGCTGTTCAAAGATAGGCTACCTCTGGGCAAAGGGGTTCTGCTTAACTGTCTCCGGCTCACAGCTGCTGGTGGATTTTCTCTGGCTTGAATTATTTTTTGCTTGCTCGAATTTTAATCTCTGTGTCTTGTGGAAGGGGGTTCTGTACGCTAACTCGATATCGTATTGCAAAACAGTACTTGGTTTGTCAGCCGTCTGAGGGCAAGAATAAGCATCCAGCACCGGGCAGTCTCATCTACGATGCTCGCAGCTATAACACTCCGCCGTATCCAGTCTCAAAGTCACTAAATACTTCTCTTGTGTTCTGTTTTAACCACTTCAGGAACTGTTGTGCAGTCTGCTGAATCAGTAAGTTAAAAAAAAAATCTTCCATTGACCAAATATTTTTTTCCCCCTTTTCTCACATTGTGTGTGTGCGTGCGCGCGCTTGCATGTCTGGATGGGGGTTTGGATGTTTTTCAGAGAAGTGGCTTGATATTTTCCTGCCTCTGCATCCCAGCCATGGTATTCCTTGGCGGTCTCCCTTCCAATTATTTGCCAGGGTCGGTCCTGTTTAGCTTCCGAGATCTGACAATATCTGGCTTGCCTGGGCCATCCAGGTTAGGGCGACCTAATATATGTTCTTGTCCATCCCTTCCTATTTACTTATTCTACCGACTTCACTTCTTTCGTTGTGTGATATGTTTTGGCTAGTTCTGATTGTCTTGGTCGGGACTGTTTTGTTCGTCATGAGCTGCCTCCACCAGCCCTAGAAGGGCAGCGTACAAATTTCCTAAAGAAATAATCCACTGGAAGTACGAAAGCAGACTACAGACTTGTAGTACAGATTTAGGCGTAAGCTTTGGTGTCCCTAAGGAGCTGCGGTGGCTCAAGTGGTTAAGACGCTGAACTGCAGGCTGTGGAAGGTCAGTAGTTCAGCAGTTCAAGACCCGGGTTGCCGCATGACGGAGTGAGCTCCTGTCTCTGGCTCCAGCTCCTGCCAACCTAGCAGTTCGAAAGCAAGGAATTGCAAGTAGATAAATAGGTACCACTTTGGTGGGAAGGTAACAGCGTTCCGTGAGCCTTGGTGTTTAGTCATGCCGGCCACATGACCACGGAAACGTCTTCGGACAGCGCTGGCTCTTTGGCTTGGAAACGGAGATGAGCACCGCAACCCTAGAGTCGGACTCGACTGGCTTTCGAGCAAGGGAGACCTTTACCTTTACTTTGGTGTCCCTAATACCTGTGTGAAATGAAATGGCGAGGCCCTAACGAGGCTCTGTGACATGTGACTGCTCGATCATTTGTGTTCAAATACGGGGTGTAAAGAAACATGGTGGGGTTGATTCAGTTGGACAACTGAATTGTTTTGGGGTACAAGGCATCCCCCCCAGCTGATTTTTAAAATTATTGAATAGGCCCCGAATATTGCCATTGTAGTGGAGGAAGGGGAAAGTAGTGTATTCATGGGAGGACTAGACCACATCTTTTTTCCTCTACATGTTGAATTGGTCCTTCACGACTCAACCCATCCAGTCCAGCACTCTGTGTCACACAGTGGCCAAAACGCAGGGGCCATCAGGAGATCCACCAGCAGGGCCACCTCCCTATTTTAAGAAGTCCTCAAGTCGGCTTCCAGGCAGAGGATGACATTTTTGAGTGCACCCATAAAAATGTAACAGGTAGCCAGAGTCCATCCAGGGAGAGGGCATTTGAGAACCAGGGCTCCACCACCTCGCTCTCCTCTAGCTAGCTACTTAAATATTTTCCGAGACTGATCCTCAGGTGCTCCTTCCTTCAGATTTATTCATGTACTTTATTTATTCCTTGCCTTTCTCCCCAGCGGTGACTCAAAGTGGCTTCTCCTCTCCTCTGTTTTTATCCTCACAACAGCCCTATAGGGTAGGTTAGGCTGAGAGTGTGTGATTGGCCCAAAGTCACCCAGCGGGCTTTCATGGCAGAGTGGGGATTCGAAGCTGGTTTCCCAGATCCTAGTCCAACACTTTAATCGCTACACCACGCTGGCTCTCAGATGCTAATTCCCTGGCATCTTACAGCCAGACCTCTATACGTTTTGGTCACGGACCAAATTGGTGCTCGGCGGTGGGGTACAAGTAGCAGTCGTAGAAGGACCGTGCCACCCTTTTTCCATGTTAAATTGGCTCTTCATTACGCCCGTGAAGCTCAAAGAGGCATTTTATCTTGCATTTAGTTGAAAACTCGCTATCTGCCAACTTTACAAACTCCAATCTTTCTTCCGTCTTCACAGGCGTCAATGTTATCTCCACCTTCTTCAGGTAAGGATTTCTCCGGCTGGCAGCGCCGAGTTTCCAATTAATCCGGCCGACAGACTGTGGCAAGAAATAATGAAACAAACCCCCCCCCCACTCTTACTTAGAAACAGTTCCTTTAAATATATATGCAGGGTGCCCTTTGTCGGAATGCCAATTTAGGATTGTTTCTCTTTTTAGAAGCTCCCGCATTGTCTATAGAGTGCAGAGAAGGAGTGGGGGGGGGAAACCATCTTGACAGCATCTACAACATTAATGCCGCTAATCAGGCCTCTCTCCCGCCATAAAAGGGAAAGTTATATTGCTTCATGAAAGGTTCCTTTTCCCCTCCTTAACTGCATCTTTGGCACTTAAGGAGATATGGTTTAAAAATAGATGGATTTCAGGCAGTGAACAATTTTTATAGATGCTCAGAAAAAAGAGAGAGAATTACAGAGCTCGGTTGATGGGGGCTGCTGACGGCTCGGGCTATCTCGAAGGCTCCCAGGTGGCTCGTTGTCAGACTCGGTAGATTGAAGCACGCCGTGCCACTCGAAGCTGATGGCGCACCGAATGTTAAAATTATAGGGGGCGATTTGATTTCATCCCACCCTTTTTCTTTTCCTTTCTTTATTGGATACTCGTAATAAGCCCGTGAGGTTGAAGATCAGCCTTTCTTCCCTTAAAGAAGTGTTACTGAAAGGCCATCGTCTAATCAGAAGATCTGTCTTCCCCTGAAATTTTTGTCCTTAAGAGTCCTGCTCTCGGTACGAAGTTTCGGAAATCGCTTCGACGACAGGCGAATCGTTCTGTCTGCAAAGGCGAATTGTTCTGTCTACAAAGTCGAGGAAGTGTGGGCTTATTTTCCCCACCCCCTTTCAGATAGCATTGATTGGTTGGTTGGTTATTTACAGTCCACCTTTCTCGCTTGGACTCGAGGCGGATAACGGGGTTAGGGTTGTAGAACCAGCCAGAAGTCCAAACACAAAACTGAAGCAAAGCCGGAGTGTTAACATAACACGTTAAATGATGCAAAATCCCATTGCAAGTTTCAACAAGCTATACACAGCAGTATAGATCACAGTCCCTATCTTAATGCTACCAATGTGTTTTTTAAGTATTAATGTTATTAGAACAGCATAAAGCAGAGGTGTCTAACTTATTTGTCATGAGGGCCTGATGTCACTTTGTCCAGGACAGGCCATGTGTGCCATAAAACGTAATGCCAGGTACCAGAGATAGTAAATGTATAAAGGACAACAGCTGGTAAGCTCCAGGTTGGTGTAGCCTTACTGCAAGGCCCCATGGGCTGGGAGGGGGGTGCAGAGGAAAACCCACGGAGGCGGACTGGAGAGGCAATAGAGCAGTGCTGGGCAGATGCTCCCACGATGCCTGACTGCTGCAGATGAAGTTGTTCTGCCGTGCTGAAGCCACAATGGAGTGGCTCCGCCCACTCCCCCCCCCCAGCACTCCTTCCCTTGCACCCGTTGCTTGCGGGCTGCATAAGAGTCCTGGATGGGCCGGTTCTGGCCCCCGGACCTTATGTTTGAAACTCCCGACATAAAGTGTCTTAAATAATCTGCCTTGAGACTTACTGTTGGGTGTTACAAGTCAAAACACTTCAGTATTTGCAGGGTTAATGATGTTTGTTATGATCAACAGGAAGTCACATGTTTGTTTGTAACCAATCTGTTTAGACAATAGAATGCCCAGGAACTTTGGAGCTAACTTGCTAGTCTGATTGGAAACCAATGTGTCAAGTATTTAGCATATTGGCTTCTTCTTCCTCTCTTTTGTTCTGACTAAGGAAGAAGATGCTGGCCATTCCCGCTTTACCTTTTAGCTGTAAGGATGTAGCCATATTAGCTCTTTGTTATTTTTATATCCTGTGTACCTTTTCCCATGTTAGGTTTATAGTAAACTTTTATATTTTAATACACACCATGGACTCTCAGTCTCTTAATACTCTGCTGACTTACTTGAAAGAATCCCAACACTTACACTAACTGCCAAAGCAAATTCATTTCTTTCCTTTCTCAACTTCTTTCAAAAAATGGCCACGAATCGTAACTCATAACAAACCAAAAGAAAAGTAGTTTTCAATTAAGCTGATCTCTTCCCCTCCTAAGAGCCCCTAATAACAATGCCTTTTGTGTTGATCGTTGCAGTGCGCAAGCCCCGATACGTCAGGAGAGACCGATCGCTCATGACATCTGGTGCCAGCACGACCATCTCTGCAGAAACGAGAGTCAGCAATGTGTAGGTGGGCTGTGTTGCCTCCCCACAGTTTTGTAAATACGGGCACAGCCGAAGAAACGTGGGCACCTCCGACTCCAGGAAAGTGCCAGAAACAACACCCGAAGTCGCTAGCTAGAAAGGGGGGGTGGGGAGAAGGAAGTCGGTATGTCCACAGAGAATGGGCTTGGGCCAGCAAGCAGGGAATGGAGAAATGTGAGTACGGCGTTTTCTCTTCAGGAGAGAGCCAAGTCAGTGAATGGCTCTTGGTAGGGCTGCCGAGTCGCTTTGCCTTCAGGAATCGTCACAGTCTGTCGAGAGAATCCGCTCCTTCGGGGGGGGCACTGCAGGTACAGCGGACAACTTCCTCTGGGCTGCAATCGTCTCTTCGGCTGTCGTCATGGAGGCCTCGGTGCGGTCCGGCAACACAGCTGGGCAGGCTTCCACGCAGCACCCTTTCTCGTCATGAACACAAAGTGCCACGTTCTGACGCTTGCGGGAGGTGTCGGGCATCTCAGACGCAAAAATGCCGCGTGGCCCAGCCGGAGACTGCCCTGCCCCACGCAGGACTCCTTCCCCCTCCTCCCCCGAGTGGCTCCTGAGCCGGGTTCGAACGAGGCCTTCAGCACACGGCAGCACTGGCCGTCGGCCAAGCCAACGAGAACAGTCTTGCTTCCTTCTGCCCCCCTCCAGTCTGCATTTCCGGAGGGCCAGAATTCCTCTGCGGTGCGAGATTGACCCGGAGTTGCACAGACAACTGTTTTCACTCTCTGGGGGCGGGTCTGCTAAGTACAGTGTTGATGCTTGTGAAACTGTAGGCCCTCCATTCCTCCCGTCAAGGTAAGCAAAGGTGGGTTTTTGTTTTTTTGGCCGAACTTGAGTGAATAAGAAGTCGGTCCAGGCTGAGAGTGTCTCTAGCGGCCTCTGATCCTAAGATGCGGAGGAATTCGAATCCTGGAATGGTTGATCCATTTCTGTTTCTACTTTTCATTCCCCTCCTCCAAGGCTACCCTAGACAAGGCCTGGTGCCTCTCGGTTTCTGCCAGTGGGGGGGGGGTGATGCTGAGGCAGTTGGGGGGGCCCCCCTTCAGCCCTCTTACTGGCTTCTGTCTCACGTCGCGCACAGATTCCACAGCCCGAATTTCCCCCCACTCGCCTTCTTCCAAAGCCAAATTGGGTCTGTGCCGTCTACGCGAAGGAGGCTTCAGGGTTCAGGGTAATGCAGAGACATTATTTTCGTTTACGGGGTTCTTCATTTGATGGCATTTTGTGAACCACAGCTCGTGTGTGTGTGTGTGTGTGTGTGTGTGTGATTGGAATTCCTCTTCCAGACAGTCGCCTCCCTCCATTTTTAATATTTTTAAAGCTTTGATCTAGCTGGGGCCAAACAGGGTGCGATAAAACCAGCCAGGGAGATGCAGCGGCAGAGTTCCATGAGTGGCAGATGCCACGTGCCAACATCAAGACCCAGGGTGGAAATGACACCCGGGCCCCCAGACGAGGCACTTCTGAATTATTTGCATGGGCGTCTCCGACATCATACCCCCCCCCCCCACGGTGAGGCAGACCTTTTCCTGGGCTCTACCACTTCTGGGCTGTTGGCGGGGGGTTCACACGGATGAATGCTTCTGCAGACAAATAATGTGGAAGGAGTGGCTCTAGCTCAGTTAACTCCAAGACGTGCACGTGGGAACATTGCCGCCTAAAGTGGTGCAATCCAGACCCACCTCTGCTCTTCATGAACTGGGCTTCCGTAGGGATAGGAAACCTTTCCACCGGAAGGACACCAGTCTAGCTCATCCTTTGCATGCCCACGTATGCGGCTTTCTCTCCAGCACAGGTGCCATGTCTCGCTAGCGGCGTTCCTTATGTATTTATTTTATTTCCACATATCTTTTTGATGCAATCTCCTTGGCCTGTCCGCATTTTCCCCACGTCGCTTATTTTTGTTTCCCCAGTTGGGGATTTCAGTGGGGAGGTGCCGGCGGAGACTCCCAGACGCCTTCACCAGGAGACGCAGTCACTATGCAACGCCAGCATGCAAAGAAATGGCAGCTGAAGGGGACAGGGGGTAGTCTTCTCTCGAACCAAAGCCAATTCTTTCTTTCCTTGTGCTTTTTAAATTTACTTTGCCTTTTTTCTTTTTTTTTTGGTAAGGCACAGCTCTGACAACAAGCCCTTGTTCTGTCCAAGTTGCAGTCAAAAGCTGTGTGTGTGGATTCACCCTTCCCTTCTAGGTAATGGAGATCGGTGTGGTGTTTTTCTTAAGAGGCAAGTTTTACTGTGTTCAAGTGGTTGTGTGTATGTGTGTGTGTGTCCCATCATGCCGTTCAAAGCAGGGAAAGCGGCATCCCTTTGCCAGTCTCAGGCGGGGGAGTGGCTCACAGCAGCCACAGTGTGCCCCTCGACTCTTTACCACTGGGTAGAATCAGCTGCTAAACTTTTATTTTGCACTGCCGTGTCAAATGCAGAAGACGTTGTATATTTTTGTTCTGTCCCTTTGTTTGCTTCCGCCCCCCCACATCTTTAATAAAAAGCACACCAAGGCCAAAGCCGAGTGGATTTATTTGGAAGTGTGGGTGGTTTGTGGCTGAATGCGCACCTGATCCAATCCGTACGTCCTCAAGTGGCTCCATCTCAGAAGCGAAGCAGGGTTGGCCCCGGTTAGTACTCAGACGGGAGACCCCCAAGGAAGTCCAGGGTGGCTGTGCAGAGGCAGGCAACGGCCAACCACCCCTGTCCGTCTCTTGCCTCGGAGACCCTACGGGGTTGCTGTAAGTTGGCTGCGACTTGGTACCACTTTCCAGCACATTCCAGGGCCAGTCTGCTTGCCGAGCAGCATCAGTCGCTTGGAGCTCTTCCTGCACTCTTCTAGACTGCAGATCTGACACTCAAGAGTCCCTTTCAGGAATAGAGATTGGCACTGTACGGATGACTAGCCCATCAAGGTGAAGCTAGAGCCTGTGCAAAGGTGATTTGTTTTGTTTGTGGGCAAGAGCATTCACCATAAGGAAGGCTGAGCGCCGAAAGATAGATTCTTTTGAACTATGGTGCTGGAGAAGTCTCTTGAGAGTCCCTTGGACGGCAAGGAGATCAAATCAGTCAATCCTAAAGGAAATCAACCCTGACTGTTCCCTGGAAGGCCAGAGACTGAAGTCGAAGCTCAAATACTTTGGCCACCCAATGAGAAGGGAGCACTCACTGGAGAAGACCCTGATGCTGGGAACGACTGAAGGTCAAAGAAGAAGGGGACGGCAAAGGATGAGATGGTTAGACAGTGGTATCGAGGCAATGGACGTGAAATTGAGCAAACTCTGGAGGATGACGGAAGACAGGAGGGCCTGGCGTGAAGTGGTCCATGGGGTCGCGAAGGGTCGGACTTGACTGTGCGACTGAACAACAACAACAGCAAAACGTTAAGGGGGGGGGGGAATCAGACGTGTATCCCTCTTCCTCTACCATCTTTCCTAACAGTTCTCTGTAGGAGAGCCTGTAGCTTCAAATATCTTTTCTTTAGGATCAACTAGCATGTCCCAAAGCTTTTGGGCACTCAAGAACTCATTGATGATCAGATGTTTAATTACAAACAACCGGTGGGGTAGGTGGGAGATGAAAAACCTCCTACTCTTATGCAGCCTTTAACTCAGTCGAGCTTTGTGCGAAACAGAATTCCCGGGGGTACAGAGAGCTGCAAGGCCTAAGAAGACAGCAGTGGTTCTTCTTTCTTTGCAAACATAAAAAACAGCTGTAATTTCACCTTGCCTCTAGCGTGGCCCCCTTATAAGGCAGGGAGCAGTAACCCAGTTGTACAAATCCAGTCTTCAACTCAGACTGTTTAGTCATGTAGCCTCCTGTCCCCTAGAGGGCGCAAGACCGTTACCTTTTGCTGCCATTGTAGTAAATGGCTGTTGTTTGTGTCTGACAAGAAAGAGAATTTATCAGCAGCTCCCTCAGCTTGCTTCCTGAAGGGCCTTGCCTTATTACGTCAAAAGCAGTCAAAAGGAGGATAGCAAGAGTTGTGTGAACTTGGATAAGAAACGGCAGGGTGCCAGCCACCTGCCCTGCCCTCGATGGTCTAGGCTTGCTTTCTCTTCTCAGGTGCTGTAGATAGATACCAGTGGGTCGCCGTGTTGGTCTGAAGTAGCAGAACAGCGTTTGAGTCCAGCGGCACCTTCAAGACCAAGTTTTATTCAAGGTATAAACCTCTGTGCGCAAACACACTTCTGTATCTGAAGCACACTTCTTCACCCAAAGAGTGATTAACACATGGAATTCACTGCCACAGGAAGTGGTTGCGGCTACAAGCATGGACGGCTTCAAAAGGGAATTAGATAAGCATATGGAGCAGAGGTCCATCAGTGGCTATTAGCTACAAGGTATAGATAGGGGCTCTGGGGCAAGTGATGCTCTGTCTTCTTGGTGCTTGGGGGGGGGCAACAGTGGGAGGGCTTCTAATGTCCTGGCCCCACTGGTGGACCTCCTGATGGCACTGGTATTTCTGGCCACTGTGTGACACAGAGTGTTGGACTGGATGGACCATTGGCCTGATCCAACATTGGCTTCTCTTATGTTCTTATGACGGCTTCAAAAGGGAATTAGATAAGCACATGGAGCAGAGGTCCATCGGTGGCTATTAGCCACAAGGTATAGATAGGGGCTCTGGGCCAAGTGATGCTCTGTCTTCTTGGTGCTGGGGGTGGGTCAACGGTGGGAGGGCTTCTAATGTCCTGGCCCCACTGGTGGACCTCCTGATAGCACTGGTATTTCTGGCCACTGTGTGACACAGAGTGTTGGACTGGATGGGCCTTTGACCTGATCCAACATTGGCTTCTCTTATGTTCTTATGACGGCTTCAAAAGGGAATTAGATAAGCATATGGAGCAGAGGTCCATCGGTGGCTATTAGCCACAAGGTATAGATAGGGGCTCTGGGCCAAGTGATGCTCTGTCTTCTTGGTGCTGGGGGTGGGTCAACGGTGGGAGGGCTTCTAATGTCCTGGCCCCACTGGTGGACCTCCTGATAGCACTGGTATTTCTGGCCACTGTGTGACACAGAGTGTTGGACTGGATGGGCCTTTGACCTGATCCAACATTGGCATCTCTTATGTTCTTATGTTAAG